GATGGGATGGGATTGATGGGATGGGATTGATGGGATCTCCAGCACATGGGAGCTGGCTCAATGCCAGGCTCAGCTGGGATAATTTGTGCACCTTCCCGCTCTGCCCAACACGGAAAGCGGCATTTCGTTAGAAATGAGCACAAAATTCCAACCTTTCTCACCCTTCTGCCATCATCCCCTGGCTTTGCTCTTTTCCAGCCACCACCGCTCCATCCCAGCCTGCCTGTGGCACTGAGCTCACCTCGGCTGTTCCCTGGGGGCTGCATTTCAAATTTCCCGGGGGGGGGGGAATGGGTTTGAATGGGAGAGGCTGGGTTTGGATGGGTTTGGATGGGTTTGGGTGGGATGTTATTCCCACATCCCTCATGGGAAGGGCATCGCTCCCTCCCCCAGTCCCTGCGTGTGCATCCAGCCTTTTCCATCCTGCTGCCCAGCCAGAGCTGGAAATCTGCATTTTCCTGGAATCCAGGGTGGGTTGTGATCAGTTGGGAGCGGAATCTGGCCTGGCAGGAGCGGGATGGGAGCTGGGGAGCAGCGGGTGCTGCATCCTCGGCGTGGGGGACACGGACACGGCTCCTTTGGGGACATTTTGGGAATGCTGGGTGTGAAAAACGCCAAGCGCTCGGTTTTTAAAATGTTAAAAGTTGAATAGTAATAAAATGGTTATAAAAATAATCATGCAATTGGAGTAATAAAGTTTAGAGTGAGGACAATTACAAGACAATAAAAAGCAAAGAATTATGGACGTTCTCAGACACTGAGTCACGAAAAGCATCCCTTGGGAACAAAGGAATCACCCTTAAACCAATGCACTTGTTGCATATTCATACATCCTTCATGGTTATGCATACATTCTATTCTAAACAAGAAACTCTGTTCATTTAATCCCCTGGCGTCTTCGAGTCTGAGCAAGGCCTGAAGAAATTAGTTTCTTCTGATAAGAAGCCATAAATTCCTCTCCTTTGGAAGATTTGGGTGTTCTTCGAAGTGAGTATCTCATCCTAAAAAAAAAATTTAAAAAAACCTTCCCCCCCACATACAGAGTCTCTATATATATAATTTTTTTTAACTACTGAAGTCTTCATTTTAACTACAAAAGCACAACTAATCAATATAATACAATACCTATAGTAACTATCTGCCTAGAGCCATATAATGTGCATTTTTCACAAGGGCGATGAATGCAAACCCCCTCCCGAAGGTCGGGTTGGGAAGATGAGGCAGTGGGATGCCAGCACCTCCTTCCAAGCTGGATGGAGCAGCTGGAATGAGGCTGGAAAATGCAGTTTTCTGCTTTCAGAGATCTGAGCGGCTCCCCGAATCCATCCGGGCTGCAGAGATAACAGATTTCTCAGGTTTGCTGGGAAAAATCCCGACAAACTCCTTTTCAAAAGCTGCCTGAACAAAAAAGGCTCGCCTTGATCGGGGGAAACCGGGGAATAAAAGCTGTGGCAGACAAAAGAGAAAAAAAAAAATTAAAATTTAATTCGGGTCAAAAGGAACGTCACTGAGAAGCCTTGGGGGTGTTTGTGAACAGGATGGGCCGAATTTGAGAGGGAAGGAGCCTGAGAAATTGGCGTCACTCCTCTTTGTCCCCTGATGAGGGTCAGCATCGTTAATTAAGGGCAGAGCTGATGGGTATCGCCCTGATAAGAGCCCTGTCATGGAAACCCTGAGTGCCACAGCCAAGATCTTCAGAGCCTCGGCAAATCAGAGCTTTATTCAGCTTCTAACAAAGAGTATTTTCCTTTTAAAAGCCAAGTTATTCAGCTCCCTGTGACTCCCACTCCTTTGCAAAGGCAGGTGGCACTTCCAGAGGGGGAATTCAGGCTCTGCCTTATCTCCAGAACTCTCCCGAGGATGAATTTCCAGGAGCTCTCACCTCGCTGGAGCTCACACCTCCCATCCCCGGCTGCTCTCGGGCTGTTTTTAAATGTGTTTTTAAATTTGCCCTTGCAAATTGGCTGCGATCGAGCAGCTGGAAAGTTTGCAGGGAAACAAAGCTTTGGAGACCGGCAGGAAAAGCCAGGATGCAAACTTGCCTAAGGGAAAGCTGCTCTGCCAGGTGGAATCCAGGTAGGTTATAACCCCGGAAAATGCGTGTTCAGAAACACAGAATCCCGGGATGTGATTCTCTGCAGGTGCTTTTATTGAGAGCTCTGGGAATCGGGGGTCCAGACCCAAACCTGACTCCGACACGGCTTTCGAGCTGAAAGTATTTTATATTCTATCG